AGGTCCCTTTGATAACTGGGTATCTTCATCACTGAGATTTGGAAAAGAATAGCAGTGATTACCAGTTTCTTTCCATCAGTTTACTGGATGGAAAATAGCTCAGCATAATATGTGCTAAACTATTCATAAATGTTCTCTTCTACTACCTTTATATAAGCTAAAAATGTGTGTTGTCTTGGTGTGTTAGCACCTATCTGGTCATGCTGTAGCTGTAAAACTAACAATAAAAATAAAATGATGAAAAATACAGGACACACACACAAAAAAAAAGTAAAGCAGACTTTTATAGGAGACTGCAAAGCTATTTCCATAGAATTTATTTTAAAGCAGAAACATCTTCACACCTTTTGAAAAGGCAGGAACATATCTGAAGTGAAAAAACATTCAAGTGCTAAGGCACTGAGTCTGGATCCAACCTATTGCTTCCATCCTGAGTATGAATGTGAGCAGGAGGATTGAATCCACGTGGATTTTCGGTAACATCAATAAACTCCACGCAAGCATGAAGGTTTGCCCACACATATGAAGCTGTGAAGATGGGAAAGAGCAGGCAAGAATACTGTAATGGATTGGATGCCAAAAGCTCTCAGATACCACATGCGCCAGGCTGCATGTTATAACTTCCTACATGCTCAGTGATCACTTTCTGTCAGATATATATATATATATATCTGTACTATGAACAGTTCCTTCCCCTAGAATGTTACATTTCTTTCTCACAAGTGCCAGAAAAAGCTACTTATGTGACACTATTTGAGAATAATTAACTTGGTTTCAACAGTTTTGCCTGTTCATTGTTAGTTACTAATGGACATTAGAGCCTTGATATTCTTCTCTACTGCAACACTACTTTAGCTTGAATTATCTCAGGTTGTACAATGCTAAAAGCAGAAGAGTTATCATTCAAGATATAATTCAAGCCCTGGCATAATTTAGAGTTCCTATAGGACAAGTCTGTGTTATGCCAGGTAATAAGAGCTCAGAGACTGCAGAAGCAGCAAGACAGAAAATGAAGTGCAATTGTGCTCCAAATACACTCCTAATCCTTAGTGCCAGGAGATGCTCCATCAGATGCTCAATACACAGTGGAATTCCTTGATAGGGTATTTTTTATACCATCTTCGGTGTTCATGATGCATGATTTATGACCCCTGTGTGCTGCCAAACAGGCCAAAGAAGTCACATCATAACAGGGATCTGGCCCTACGTGACTTGAGTACAACAGCAAAGGATGAAAATCCTTCCAAATAAAGAGAGAGCTGTAGGGATTGCATGAATTTCATCTGTACTAGTTCCCGCAAGCCAAAACAGTAAGAGGTAATATATCAATTCATAGAAAACCACTAAGATGTTGAACATGCAGGTTTTATAAGTCATTGTGTTGATAGATTAACAGAAAATGTACATAGAAACCTTCGTCATCAGTGCCCACGACAGTACCATTTTGTTATTTAAATGAAGTATCCTGCAAGGGTTTGAAAACAGCATCCTGATTTTTTTTCTTGAAATTGACTGTTAAAATCTAGAATCACAAAAAAAATTGTTTGTGCTTTATAGAAATGACTGTGCAAGCAAAGGTGGCAGCCATTATGGGATCAACGACATACCACCTGAGAACACTCACACTAATTAATCTTTGGTGGTATTATTACCCAGGAAAGAAATTAGGGACACCATTCCATCAACTGCTATAATTTCTACCTAAACAGTATGATCCCAGTGCCATGATTATCTGCATTTTCAAAAGAACAACAACCAGAGAGGTCTTATTTCAGCATTCTATCTATAGGACAACTTAACGTCCACTACCCTGTGTTCCCTCTATCCTGTAGTATCATTAAAAGGAACAAAACCTCAAATGAAATAACACAAATCATTACTATTTTTCCTCAGAGTCTACAACTTAAAGGAATATATATACATCATGACTTGGAAGGAAGGAAGGAGAGGGTTTTCATCTCTTTCTAAAGGATAGAAATTGTTTTTGTGGTCCTTCAATCTGTTCTTATTTCTCATTTGCAGCTGCACAAAGAAACTAGATTCTTCTTTTAAACAAGCAATTTCAAGTAGCAAAAGCCTTAATTCAGTATGCCAAGAAAACAAAAATACTTTACAAAGTTCACAGATAAATTATTTCACAAGGATCAGTATTTAAAAACATACATATTCCTAAATCTCAGTATCACTTCTTCCAAACCAAGCCATCCATCATACACCCAGGTAACTGACTGATAAAAAATCTGTTAGGTATAAAATATTTTGAAAATATACATATATCTCTTTTTAATAGATGAAATTACTCTCCGTATACAGTCTCACAAAAATTAATGCATGTGAGAGACACCAAAAAGCCGACTGTACAACTTCATTATTTATTTTAAATAAGAAACACAGCATGAGTGTTGCATTCAGCATAATTTATACTTAAAAGGCATGTAAATACATAGCAAAAGACATGTGATGTAACACTGAACCTATGTTTAATAAGTAAGTTTACTACTAATAATAAACTAACTGAATAGTCTATTCAGTTCAGTGACTGACATCATCCCTTTGAACAGCAGACTTTAATAGGCCCTAATCCAAATAACCCCTGGAATTAGTAGGAGGGTCATCACAGGTTTAAACAGGCACTGAATCAAGCAGTTGCTGATGTTCAAGAAAGATTCATGCTCAGACCAGTCTTGTCTCTTCACAGCTGAAACAACTGACTTAATAAAGAAGAAGAAGAAGAAAAAAGCTACCACACTCTTTAATTCACCTTCCTGTAGTTTGCAGCAGTGTGCTCAACCTGGTGGGGGTTTTAAGTTACATGTTGAATGAATGACCAGTGCTGAAGTGCTAAAAATACGCAGTTTTTGGAATCCAGTGTTGAGGCAAACCTTAACAAGCTTCATCACACCTTCTCTTACTTACACCATTATCCACACACCCCAGCTAGATAATATGCTACAAAGCACAGTGTAAAAAGGATGACAGAGGAAAGATGCAAAGCATTAGTGCCAGTCAGATATCTACAGATCTTAATCCTTTTTACCAAGATGACAAATACTGATTCCTAGTAAAACCCCTAGGAAGAAAAAGGCGGCTAAAGCCTGCACACATTCTCTCTGTGGTTAAAATTATTTGAACACAGCTTCACCCATGCAGCAAAAGCATCCCAATTAATCACTTTATTCCCCCAAAAAAGAACAAAAAAAAAGAGAAAAAGAAAAGAGAGATGGGTATCAGTCTGTTCTTAGTGCTAGAGGGAGACGGAGAGCGAGGAGAGCCCCTGCAGGACTGATCCCACCATCAGTTTCAGAAGCCTGGGTTCCCGTATCTGCAGATGAGGGAAGGAGGGGAGAGAGAAGGAAGCACTGCCAGCTAAGTGTGTGGCATAAGGACCTGCTCAGAATGGGACAGATTCTTTCTGTCTCCGGATATTACTGTCAGAATGGCCAAGAAAGCAATGAGCTTCATTTTGCCATTCTCACTGTGATACTTTAAGAAGTGCCTATTTTGAAGGGAACTGGACAGGTGGCATGTCATGCTGAGCTAAATAGGCAAGTGTGAGATTTAAATGACAAGAAGCAGCAGGTTTCACTGTTCTAAAGAGTGAGAGAGTGAATCATTCTGGTGGTACCGATGGGCACAAGTGGAAGGTCAGCCTGGGGTGCTGCCAGTGTCACCCGGGTGCCTGGTGCCAGATGGTGCCAGTCTGTAGGTATAGAAGAAGGCATACCCTGCAGGCCAATAGCAATGCTATTTGCTCTGGAATAAGAAAGTCTGGGGACAGGTGCAGGCATCACAAATTAACATAGATGCTGCCACCCCAAATGTTAGTGTATGTGTTGCCAGCCCGAGGGCTGCGAGGGCAGCTCAGCCAGGAAGCTGCAGAAAGCGCAGTGGGGGCAGGCACTGCCAGGGTGAGATGCTGCCGGTGCCACTGGCCAGGGGCTGCGGCAGGGAGATGGCCCAGGCCAATCTCTGCATGGTCCCAAGGGAGCTATGGAGCTTCCTCTCTCTAAGCACCTCCAGGCTGGACACCGAGATGCCCTCTGGGACCTCCCGCCTCCCCCCGGCAGTACCGTGCCTGCATTGCTTGTGTTCCCATTTCCAGACTTATGCAATGGCTTGAGGGCAGAGAGCAACCTGCAGAGAAGCAGAGCAGCAGGAGATGCAGGCAGCCTGGATCCCCACGGGGCTCCCTGAAGTGTCCCAAACTAGAAAACTGGCCACCTCCCCACTCCTGCCTCCTGCAACATAATTATTCCAGCATTACCGACATGACAAATTAACAAGGCAGCCAGGGCTTTTGCAGTAGAAGGGAGTGTTTTCCCCAAGAATAAATTGTTCCAATCCTTTACGCTAGACACCCAGCCGTGCCTATTCATTAATTGGACAACTGAAATTATCCGACTTCTACATACAGGAGGAGAGGGAGATCTTTGCAAATTAAAATAAGAAGCCTAAAGCTGGCATCCCAGACACCAAGGAGTTCTTTGAATGGGGCTATTTACGTTTGTAAAATTCATTTTCAGAGCACGGCCACAGTAAAGCTCCTTTTAAAAGCAGAGGCACGTTCTTCAGTGTTATTCCTCCCTTTGCAGACCCTGAACCGTGGCACCAGAACATGACAGCTCCGCCAGTGAACCGCAAACCTTTTAAGATCTGCAGATCAACCGAGTTTAAGAACTTCAGGAACTACGAAATTCTGGGATTGTTGCAATGTTGCAATTAACTATCACAATCAGGTACATTAGGAATTATAAGCATCTCCTTAATCACTACACTATGCTTATTTACTGCAACCAATGTATCATAATGACCACACAGGTATTGGAATGGGGGGGGCGGAATTGATGTTTGTTGATTTCTGTCATGACCCACTCACATCGTTCATGTATTTCTTCTGTTGATCTGGGTTTACCTGTACCTCTTGCCCCTGGGAAGGGGAAGCCTGGGAAGCTCATGGTATTTCCCCCCAGCCCCCCGCCCTTTCTGGGCTAGCTGCGTACCTGAAATGCACACGATGAAATTCGCTTGCAGAAGAAAAAGCACCTCCCAAACAATTTCCATCCTCCGATTCTCATGCCAAGTGCATCCCTCAGCGAAAAAAAATAACAAAGATCAATATCGCAGTTTGAACGATCCCAGCAAATTTCCTTTCGGACTTGCAGACTGTATTCCCCAGATGTGCTGACAACACATGTCCGAGCCCTCTCTCTGCACGGCTCAGGCGAGATCCCTTCCCTTCCTTTGCCCTCCAAAAAACACCACGAAGCCAACTGCCAGCACCGGGCTCTTCCTCCACAAGCGAGAAAAAAATCCACCAGATTTCCCAACACGACATAGACCACAAACCCCAACCGATCCGGTCCGGAGAGTCTCTATTCCAGGGCGGCCAGGTCCAAGTTACCCCCGAACTCCGCACGTCTCAGCGGGGCAGTGCCAGCAGGCCACGGGAAGCGGAGGGCAGGATGGACGGAGAGAGGGGGGCTCCTCTCCTGCTGCTACAGAATGAGCGGAAAGAGATTAATGCCCGCGCTGCACCGCACCGCACCCCGCCC